AATCATTACCTGAAAAAATATTGCTAGAAGGGTAGGAAGGACTGTCAAGGTGTTGTAACAAATGGAAAATTCTCAATTGATATGATTTCTGATGTGTGTTGGCTTTTAGCAGTTCCTTTTGACCACCTTTCTTCACACTTCTAAAGGTGCCTTTTTATTTCGTTATATTCAACTCTTGCAAAAATCAAGCTCTGGTTTTCATCTACTTATAGTGGAATCACCATTGCCTTCGTATTATGTGGATCAAATATCTTTACGTTCAATGATATGATTACTAACCTATATTGACTCTGAGAATTTTATACTTGGGCAAATGGCAAGTATTACCTATTTTATAATTAATGAAAAGGAAGGCTCTGTGTTCCTTTGTCTCTTGGAGCTTGATAAGAAAGTAAGAGAGGGTCATCTAGACTGAGTTGTCAGAAGAGAAGTGAGGCGAAACGCAGAATAGTTGATTTTACTGTAACTAAGATTTCTTTGGAAGAGGACAGACTATGAGAACCTCACTCCTGGAATGTTTGGTTTCTATGGTTTAACTAATGTGGCATGGCTATTGGGGGCATTCAGTTTAAAAGTGTTATTTTTGCCTGGTCTAATAATACTTGGTATTCCACTTTGTCTCTGATCTAAAGATTTCAGGGATGGGATGTTTGTGAGATATTTATCAACTCAATGCAGGTAGTCACGCTAAAAATGCTTCATAACATATCCCTTTCTGTCTCACGAGGAAGAAAATTCAATTTAACACTGCAAAGGCGTGGCTCTGCAAGCAAGTGTTTGTTGACTTGGTGAGCCATTAGTGGACTGCAAATAAGGCAACTTGGGGATATTGGAATCCAATTTGATTCCTAAGCAATCCTCTGCTAGACAGCTACACTCTTTATTTCAACTAAAATTTCATTCTTAACATCCAATGTTTATTAGGTAGAGGCACTTTTGTGTCGATCAAAATTTCAAAAATCTTATAAAGAGAGCATCTTTCTAAAATGCGTGACTGTTGAGAAAGATGAAATGTATGCATATTGTATATATGTACTAAGGATGGAAAAAAACTTGTACACTTCGTTAGTTCTTTATTTAAAGGGACTAATGAGATATGACTGCTGAGAGAGAGTTCGCTGCGTCATATTTTCGATAGGAGGGAGGTGGATGGTTTTAACAAAAGTTTGCAATGTATTTCCTGGAAAATTGAGAACTTTTGATTGAGTGGAGGATTTCTTTTCCAGCATTAGGTAATCCACTTCTATAGATTTTATACAAGCACTATTTACCAGTCAAAGGCATATACGGCAACTCTTTAATGGATTCAGCTCTGTGATGCTTCTTTCTTTACTTGAAAAATCAAAAAGGAAAGTGGCAATTAAACATAAGATTAATTTAGATTTAATTTCAATGTCAATAAAAGCTGAAATGGACAACTTGCCCTTTTCAGTTTATCATGTATTTCAAAAACATATTGAGGATTGACTATAACACTTCTGAAATCCCTGTACTAAAGCAAGTGCCCAGAACTCGCTTGATACTAATATTTCTGCTACGGGAATATAAATGTGTTCTTGAATTGTGTCAAACATTTCTTTCTGAAGAATGCTTTTTCAGAATATATTGCTGGCTTGATCTTGTTATGTTCTTGTTTGTCTGGTTGTATTTTTACCTTCATTTTGAATTAATCCCTATTCCAACGAAGAGGAGAAGAAAAGAAAGACTTCCTTGGAACTTTCAGAAGAATACTGGGTTCAGTATAATCGATTATTCTGTTTTTCAATAAACGCATCTTTCTGTTACAAATTCATACAGTTTTATTCACGTTGACCCTTAAACTGCATAGCTGGGAAGTGGTCTTGAATGACACTTATTGCTCTGTATAATCTGTTAGTCTAATGTTCTG